GATGTCTATATTTATGGGAATCACGCATATTGATAGAATCATATATATTTTCACAGTCATTCACAGCCTGAATATTTTTCACAATGAATGCAGAGTTTTGTTTTGTACGAACAGAATATCAGAAAAAAGTTTAAACTAAATTTACAGAGGCAAAACATTGTTAATTCTTTAGCAGAAAAAAATGACTTTGAAAATTCCTGAAACATGATGGCAAGCAGAAAATCCTTTTTTTGCTCTTTTCATCCTTTATCAGAATACATTTAATAAAGCCTCTCTTCAGTGAAAAACATTCATTGTGTGCATTTTTACTCGATTCAACATGACAGAGTGAGTGCTAAAGAGAAATGGGAAATGTTGTGAAAAAGGTGTGCGTAATTTTTTCATACAATTATGATGTGTGCACATTTTCATGACGGCAGAAAAAAATGATCAAGTAGATTTTCAGTAAATTCGTGCAACAGCAATTCATCATGTATTTAAACTGAGATTTTCGCATGATGCTTTAATTATTGCGAGGCTAGCAAATTATAACTTCAGAAGATTTATGAAGTGGTGCAAAAGAGTGGCTGAAAAGTGCATTGAGTGAAATTTAATAACCATTTTTGGTGAATTTCGGCACGAAGTTGTAGCACAAGATTCCTAATTTGATAAATTACGCAAAGTGAGCTGAATAACTATGCAAACTTTAGCAATTAGTTCCACACGTGAACTTGTGCTGGCGGGATTTTTTTCAACAGAATGTTAATTATAATGTCAATAAGTGAAAAGTCTCTGTGTGGGGAAAATTAAGTTGTTCCTTTATGTGTATAATACATAACATAAAGTGCTGAGAATTCTCGTGTAAATCACATACTATAACACATTGTTTAGCAAGGAATTCACAAGGGATGAAGATGGCTTGTCTGGTGATTAACACACATTTTATCCACAAGACTAACATATTATCATCTCCACTTTCCCACCCCCTCGACATGTCCTGTGTTGAGAGACTAGATTGAAAATGCACAAGTGTCTTGTAATTAAGGTGATGCCGCACTTAATAAAGTTTTATCACATCTTGACAGCATTGAAATGAGTTAAATTTGCGCTCTGGGGCGCCTTTTGGGACAATTGCGGTGCTGTGACATAAACATTCCAACCCAGCTTGTTGTGGGCAAATCCGCGGCAAGAGGGAATTCTGGGAAGGAAGATGATTCTGGCATTAAGGCATGCGTGTCGGTAGGGATGAGACAACAATTGCAGAAACAACATTTTCTTGATGACCTCTTCTTCCGCCGCTGAAGTGCTCGCACAAGAGAGCCCAGGTACACAAAAACACCTTCGAATAATAAAGTCAAGTGCCATAAAAAATGTTTTTACAATGGCACAAAAAGGTCCCTCCCAAGCTTTCGGCCGCACTTTCACTGTTGGGGCTTTCGTGTGCTCCTTGAAGCTCCTTCAAGGCTCTGGGCGTATCACATTCTCTGCTCAAGTGAGACGGAGCCGTCGCAGGCTCTCATTCAATTTGTAGCAATATAAAAATTTGTCCATTGTCACAGCCGTGTATCCTTCCGTGCGATGACATTGTTATGGGAACTGTCCTCCTCTGCGTTGATCCCTGAAACACGGCGCGCGGATAAATTCGGCAATCTCGAATTGGTTTGAAATGAATGCCCAGGATCGCGTTTCAGAGACATTTCCGAACAGGAGATGACTCACGGAGTCATTGTGACAAATGATTCTCTCACAAAGTGATCTTGATAAAACCCTCTCCTTCTCTCTTTCCCTCAAATTGCTGACAAATAGTCTGCGTGGGCGCACAATTTTCCCACGCGGTGTTGAGGAGAGAGAAAAAAAAGACATTGTATGACACAGAAGGAGTGATAAATTAATTTAACTTTCTGATTAAATTCCCCGTATCTTGTCTGCGAGTGTGGGAAAGTTCTGTGACATCTCTCCTCGCCTTCCTCAGCCGGGGCTTATGCTCGTGCCGACACACGTAAGAAGTGAAAGGTGCTGGGAAAGTTGAGGGCGAAATTGGCTTATTTAACACACTCACGTCCAACCCTGCGCCACCCACGTGATGAGAGGGTGTCCTCGGAGGAGTGTATAGGAGATAGTGAGCAGTGCGGGGCTCCGTCACTTCACCGGAAGTGTGTTTCAATGTAACCCACAATGAAAAGGTATATTTTTACGTGTGACGGAAGGTGACGCATATTGTGCCACTTTCTCCGCAATACACACAGCTCACTCGCAGTATTTTTGCCCTGATGGAGGTGCACAAGGAGGAAATTTCATTACAGGGAAATTTGCATTTACTACGACGAGCGCGCCCGCCCATCGCCCCCCGAAGGGGGGCGCGCGGGGGTGAGTGGGGGATGTAATTTGAGTGATATTTTATGCAGATTTCACTCCGCGTCGGCAATTCTCGAGGCAGGTGGCGACAGAAAGGACAACAAGATGAGACGCACAGCACAAATGCGGAATTATCTCAATTAATTGTTCTGCGTGTGACATGAATCAGTGAGTGAGCTGTGACATAATAAGTGCGAAACGATGTGTCGCCTTGAATGGTGCGGCCAGGAGCACCATGTGTCCAAAGTAATTGCTGAAGCCAGCAAGATTTTCCACCCCATGCCGACGTGTCTGCCGTGGGGCCCCCAAGGGCGAAGGCGTGTACTCAAATGAAATTTGATATTATCCGTCGGAACGTGATGACAAAATTGGCGGTATGCGCGTGTGAGTGTGCTGGCGAGTCACCTAAATTTGCCACTGGCAAATAAGTATCTCCAATTTCCCTTTTCCCGAACACAGACAGTGTTTTATGATGTGGAAAAGATTTGGTGTGTGTGTGTGTCGGCACGGGGTGAGAAAGAAAAGCCAAGGGAAAATTACTTATGATGCTGCCATTTTATGCAAATTAAAAGGGCGAAGAGCACAAAATTGTATTGCCAAATTTATTTACTCTCTCTGCCTTCGCATGTTTGCTGTGTGGCACAAATTAAAATGTCTCTCATAAAGCATTCAGCAGCAAGTGGAGACGCCTGGTTTGGGAGTCTGCATTGCTGTTTTTCCGCGAATGCCATATATATTAAATATCACCGGATCCGGATATTTATCAAAAATTTCACAGTGGAAGTCACATTGTGTGGCTGAGAAAACAAATCCAGTTTGAAAATTGTCCAATAAAATGAGAAATAATAGAGAGAAGCATAACATTCCCAAAGGAAGACATTTTCATGTAAATATTTTACAATAACACTGAGACTCTCTTTTCACGGAACAAGGAAGAATTTCAGGGTTGAGAAATTGTACAATGCATTCAGAGATTTCTTCGGAAGACATTTTCTCTATATTAAATATTACTTCCTCAACAATAAGAGTCTTATGGAGTGTCTTAAGAAATATATTTGTGAAAATATTTGCTCTAAGAATATGAAGTTTCAGCGTGTTTAAAGTGCTTTGGGACTTTGGAAATTTTGCATGTAAAGCACAGTTTGTATTGTATTTGCTGCATTTTCTCATTTTCTCATTTTCGCCACAATATTTGTCCAGAACTCTAGCACCATTCGATCAGCGTATTGTGCCAATTGTGATTCGAATTGCGGAATCGATAAATATGACAAACATTCGACGAAGTGTAGCTGCGAATCGGTAGCAAATCTCCATATATATGCACACAAGAATGTATGCAAATGTGATGAAAATTTTTGCATCACAGTTTCCTGGTTGAATCAAGCGTAAAAAATATTTTGCATGGGAAAAATTTAAAAATCAATTGTTCAACACAACTTTAAGTGTCATATTTTTCACAGAGTTCGCTTGTATAGCTTTATTAATCCTTAAAGTTCTTGCGCGATATATTTCTGTGAAAATTAAACATTGATACATTTCGCTAATTGTCTGAAATGAATTACTAATTGCTTCGGCATAATGAGATCTTTGAGGCTTTTAAGGAAATTCGAGGATTATAAGGTGGAATGAAAATAATTTCCAGGAATGTCTATTTATACTTTTTAAATGCTCCCATTCCTTATAAATTCATCCAATTCATCTCTAAATACTTCCTTATAAACTTCAGCATGATTTATTTACATAAGTTGTGTGTTATTACACAAGTTTGCTCGACTTCTTCAGACGAACGACGCGATGTTATTCCCCCGAAAATTGATATGTTATTCTCATCAGAAAATTTTGAATTAACTCCACGGAAACTAATTGCAGCAATAGTTTATGGGGTTTATTTGTGTCACACGAGACTAAGGGGAGATTGTGGAGGGAGTTCTCAAGGAGATGTCGCCCACTTGCAGCAAATGAATAAAGAATACCTCTCGCTCTGGAGGTGGTGTGGGAAATTCTGGTATATTGAATTTTACCGAGCAGAGACAATTACTTTTATTGTTCTATTTTTGTGGTGGAAAGTATTGATTTTCACTGCCCATTCCTCATCTTCTCGCTGGCTTGTGCGGTGAACGTTCTTGGTGTGAACCACGACTGTATCCATGATTGGGCTCCATTGTGTGCGTATTGTAGATTCTCTGTGACTGCAAATAAGGGTTTGGCTCCGAGGCATCCCATAAATGCGATGGGTAACCCCTAAATTATGCAAAACTTTCTCACTGCCAAGGGTGAGGGGATATTGGGTGAAAATCGGTGGAGTTGGAATTAGGGGAGTATCGCCTCTGGATTTTGCATGATATTCCTCAGATGGATTTCTGGCAGGATGGGAGATTAGATCCTGAGAATGTATGTGACACACCATATCATGCTGAAAGGAATTGCCATGAATGCCTCTTATCCACATTGACGAACTTCCCAATTCCATATGATGGGGTGAAGGAGACGAAAAATTGGATACAATTTTCCTCCCATATGATTTTATACACCACCCATTTTGCGCTGAAATGCGACGAATGTGGATCTGGCGAAGGATTTTTGAGAGAGAAAAAAGTGCTTTAATTGAATTTGCCATTGAAAATTTGCCTGATTTCTTATGACAACGTCTTCTTCTTTCCTTGCAGCTTCAACACTGTGTCTGGAGGAAGTGGCTCCAGTGATGATCTCCATCTGGCTTTATGGTTCTCAATCAGCTTTCCTTGCACCACCAGCCCATGTCTTACGTTCGACCCGCAGAGCTGTAGAAGCTTTCGTGTCGCACGTGATTTAGAAAGTGAGAAAGCACACTTGTACATCATTTATTCCACACTTCCTCACACCCCAGAATTGTGGCGATTTATAGTGATCAGTTTGATCACTTTGACACATTGTTTCTCATTGTGTATTTCTTCATTATTTGCATACACAGCTTTGCAACGTGCAATCCTGGGTGAATAGCATTGAAATCTAGCAATTTTTGGCGACAATGAAACTCAGTGTCAGTGCATATCGCGCTCATGCATCAGCACACAAGAAGATCCTCTCAAGCAGTTACCAGACACAGTTCAATTACGGAAGTACAGCAGCTGCCTCCGTGTCAGCACCGCCACCCACAGCTCCGGGACTCTTTGCGGTGAGTCACACAATTTGCTCAGACTCTGAATAACGACAACCATTTCCAGTCACATTATCCCGACACACCCAGGAAGAATCTCAGAAGATTGGGCGCAACACTAAATATATTGCTTCAGCTCATGGTGTGAGATTTCCATGGGGTTCATGAAGAGTGCAAGATAAATAATGAAGAATATCCTTTTGTGCATCATGCAGATGCACTGAAAATAAATTACGGTGTCTCTTTTCGAAGTTACAAAAGTGTATATTAAAACTTAATTGAATGTGTGATCAATAATTATTTTAAAATTAATAATTTAGTCCATATAAATATTTATATACGCGCGGTAAACATTGCAATGGAGATTATTGAATTTATGCCAGCGTGCTGAAACATATATTGTGCCTAAATTATGAATTTTCATTTCCATACATTAACCCAACTATGCCGGGATTAATTTAATTTGAAACTTCCTCCAGGAGGGACACAAATTGACACTTGTGCAGAGCATAAGTGGTTCAATCTCTGGGTGCAAAGTGCGGAGTGAAAGTTTTCGCATTTCATTCGGCTATAGATCAATTTTCCCCACTGAAGGTATGTCGTAAGTTGAGCTAAACAGTGTGCTGTCGAGTTGGTGACATTGTTAAGTCTGCTGCTGTGCACAAGAGTCAATTAGGACAATCTAATTTTTGCCAATTTTCTCGTAATTCAATTTCGTGGGCAATTAAAGACAAGAACTCACTGGCGAGATGGTGAATTGAAGAGGACTCTTTGGGTTGGCTGGCTGGGTGGGAAGGAGATTTATTTTGTGAAATTCTTGATTGTCTCGAAATTTAGTGGATGTTTACAAGGGACATAATCAGCCCCCGCCTTCATCCATCTGGCTGTGCACTGAAATATACACTCCACCAATTTCGACATTCTCTCATGAACTCTTGCGGATTATGTGATACCGGCATAAGTTCAGTCTCTACATACCCACATAATGTGAGCAAAGGGAAATTCCAATGTCAAATAGCATCCATTGGATACATAATATAGTCCAATGGTCGGGGTTGAATTTGAACAAGGAAAACAACCCTTGATATTAGATATTCATTGTGCTGAAATAATACACACTGTCTCTTCGCCAATTAAGAAATTCAAACTAATTTACATTATATCCAGACATAAACGTGCAGTGATGAAACCTTTCTTCGCCAAATAATGGATGTTTGCTTTGAAAAACTGTTCAACCCTTTGAATATGGAGCGAAGTTCCTCGAAGACAGTATAACTTTTTGAAATTCTGTAATAATAAAAATGTGAAAATCTTTTATTATTTCATGCGGTTAAGCTCATAAAACTCTATACTGTTGAGCTTTTCTCTTGGTGTTGTGATTTCTCATCTTGGCAACATCCTGAATTAGTTAGAATTGCCGTAAATGAAAAAGTGCGTAAACCTCTAATGCCTTTGAAAGCTTTTCTCGTCCAATTTTGTGACCTCTTTTATTTGTGCTTTTAAACTTGGCCATATAAATTCTGCCAAGCTTCCCAAGACACGCTCTCTCGTCCTCTGACGAACGCCTGATTTATGTGCCAAAGGACACCCAACAGTCACGCGGGAGTCATGATAGACGCATTCAATGGCATCATTTGTGTAATTCGAATCTCTGATCGATACGCTATCATCTTCGTCCTGAAACTTCCTCTCTCTCTCTCGATGGAGTGAATATGCTGACGTTGGAGTATTGCTGCCACTGAAAAAATATACACAGTAATGGTGGAAAAAAAAGTGAAAAAAATGGCAGGAATAGAAAGAAATCGCCATAAAAAGTGGCTTTTTATGTTTGGGTATGAAAAGGAAAATGGAGAGTATCCTCGGAAACGACAACAACACGGGTTCAAGGGAGAATATATGGCACTCGAAAGAAATTACAAAATCATCTATAAAATATTGGTGGTAAATTATACGACACGTCGTGCAGAACGAGGGCATTACATGCGTTTGCGGATGGGATATTGTGTGGTCGAATCATTATGAAAATTACATGAAGGACCACATCAAACAGTCAGACGTGTCACACGGCACAGTCGCATGTGACACAGATATTTACCACACTTCCATTCTGCGAATTTTTCACCAACTCAGTCCTTCTGGCAGAAAATTACCCCAACTTGTTCCGCCGGGAGTTATCAATGTACATGCAATTAAAAGTGGGTGTGAGCGGTGAGCAATTTCCATGTGTGCGGTTCGGGTTAATTAAGTGCGAATTTGTAAGAAATTAGTACACAGTTCACATCTGATGTGTCACGCCTGTAATCCTTTGGCTCTCTCAGGGGAGTCGTGCTCATGGAGATTTGCAAAATAGCGCTTTCACTGCAAGCCTTTTAGTAAAAACTGGAGCTCTGGGAGATTAGCAATCGCCTATGGGCGGTTATTAAGCGAAAATTATGGGAAGAATACTGCGAATGAAACAAAACGGGGGAGGAAATATTTCTCCCATCAATTTTTCTATTTTCCATATCTCTTATACCATTCAATAGAATCAACTAAAGGGGTTTCGGTGCTTTAAATGAGACTTTTTATGTGCATTTCCGATTTGATATGTCAGATTATTGTACAACATGTGTATATAATATGTAATTGAGTTGCTCCCTTTTTTGGCTCCTCTTGTGAATCACTTGATAAGTGTGTGAGGCGCAAGATAAAATCGGGTTTTATGGTTTTGACACAAGGGATGAAAATCAAATTTTACGCCTTACAGAAAAAAATGCAAAAAGTCTAATGGGAATTTGGGTTTGACCCCAAAATCCAGTACCGACAAGAAATTGCAAATAGTCCCAGTAATTGAAACTATGTTTGAAGTTTAGGCTTTACGAAAATAGGGTCTTGAGACGGTGAGGAAGATGAAGTGGAGGAGGAAATCTTCAACAAAGCCCTAGAGGAGAATGCGGAGATATTATAGAATGAAAGCTTGAGTGATATGTTTGGGGGTAAAATCAGTCCCTCGAGGCGAAATCTGGCGAAAATATATATTCGATATTCCAGGACAGATTCGATAGTAAATGGATGTGTAGAAAAATGGTCGAGAGACGCCTTTTACTGGTGCCACGCGAATCCTATTTGCAGATTGTGAATCGGACAATAATTCTCCTCTTTATGATGTCTCTTATAGTCCATAAAACGAATCAATTTAGTTTGACTGATGTCTCTAGTATTATTTAGCTCCACCATTCGCACTTGTCATCTCATTTCGGCCCATCATTATGCCGATATCTACAAACGCGCCGCGGTCTTTAAGAAAAATTGAACGATGGGCTCTGGAATTTCATATGTGCGGTCCGCATTCTGCTACTCCTATAGTATTGCGGTTGTGCGGATTTCTATAAGCCCAATAAGAGGGCACATATATATGATTTACATAAGATAAATACCCGAGATTTCTCTGGGTTTTATTGCCCACACTCGAGTATGTGCTTTTGAGTATAAAATTTGAAGCAAACCCAAACGCATTTATATGCTTTTGCCATCACTTCTTCACTGTCTGCTCGCTCATTCGGTGATCCCACAACAAACAAGCACATCACTTAAAATCAAGCATTATGCTATACATGGTCAATTTCTGTAGAGAGAGAGAGAGAGATTTTTTCGTGCTCGCCAGTGTTTTGAATTGAGCGCGATATTAATTCCATTGCGGAGCTGAGAATGATTTAAGTGGATTTAGCGCTGTGAATCTCGCAAGTGACCTGAAATTGAATATGGAAATTTATTTATACAACTGATTTTAGCAATTCTTAGCCACCCTCGCGCTCCGCGTCTGTCGCTGAGTCTCGTCGAATCGCTCATGGAGCATGAGCCAAGTTGAGACAGATACAAATATTCGGCGCCGTGTTTCTGTGCTGAACCAGTAACAAGAAAGACGTGCTCCTTCGCCGTCGTCTCAATACGCATCCACAGCGTTGGGGAAATTGCTCTCTCTCCTCGCCCACCTCCTTAGGAATCCTTCACTATCAATCAGTGGAATTTATTATCTGCAAATGCACTCTCAGCGATGATCACACATGCTCTCCGCGGTGCCTTTTTCCCACGAGATAAAATGCCATTATATCTAAAAGGGCTACACGGAAATATGTGAAGAAGGAGTTTTTGTGAGCGGCATCAGTTCAACTGACACATCACTTTGCCAGGGTTGCGTTTGGAAAAGTGTTCGTGCTGTAGCAGAAAAAGAAAAATCCCAGAGAGTTTCATGAGAAAAAAAGCTTTTGTGGTTTCTGCTAAGGTGCGCGCGAGGTTGAAAAATGGGATGTGCGAGTGGTAAGCGAGTGGCATACATTTTTAATTTGATGAAATACGATATATTTTATGGTTTTCTTTGTATCTCTGGGAGTATTTCGCAATGGAAATTGTCCTGTATTGCCTCAGTTTAAAACCGCACTAACTCCGCTAAAGCTTCATGTTCTGGGAGAGTTAATTGCAGCCTCAAGATGGTGAAAAAGTTTTTATTATTCAATTTACAGAGAAGCTGCGTGGGTTTTACGGCCAAAGCTCCCGATTGCACTTGTACTGCAATGTGTAACTCTCTTGGCTTATTCTTTTGCAGATGAAACTTTCAAATTGAATCCTTTGGTGCACCTTATCCCATTAGCAAACACTTGAGAATGGACCATTTTGGAAGTTTTAATGAAAGCTACAAGCCAGAGAAGTTCATCCATTTGCACAATTTGCAGCAAAATTGCTAAATTGAGCTGAATTTGAGGAGTCAAGTCACTCTCCTTGTCTTAAGCACCACTCTATGAAGGCAGGAGTAGAGCTTTTCTCATTGGGCGCAGGTCCTGTGATTGTGTATATACTGCGGAGTCAGACGCTAAACCTGAATGGGTGTAGTTCGGAGAGAAGGAAAACTATGTCGTTTATCATTGCGTGGGTGTTATTCAGTGGCATAGTTTTTCTGACTGGCACAGCATCCAACGAGGACATTTCAAGATGATATTGTGAAAAGTTTCTTGCTTGCCTGTTTTGTTTTGTTTCATCGCAAT